AACAAAAACAACAACAAGACCCTGTTTCTTCATACTACATCAGTTATCCCATTTTATAGCCCAGTGCCTCTCGATGGACTGTGGACTTTTTTTCTTTTCATTTCCAATTACTGTAATATATTTATTATTAAACATTTACATGTTAACAAGTCCTCAGAGCTAATAGAGAAAAGACAGGGACTTTACTGCTTTATGATTGTAGCACCCTGAAATCAACAAAAGATCAAGAATAAAATGCTTGATTGCAGGGCTGCGTGTTAATCAATCAGAGTAGGGCACAATAAACACAAAGTGGGCAGCAGGATTTTTATGTTTGTGAACAGCCATCTTATGTTTAAGCATGAAAATGAATCTTTCAAACATTTTCATGCTTTATTACCAATTTACTAAAATGTGGCAGTGCATAAAAACTAAAAACTGTGCTCTACACTTTGAAACTCTCAAAACATTTGCTTTTATGTAAATACACAAATCTGCATGGGTACACATGCCCACCTGGTTATTGTTTCATACCAGTGAGCATTAACACTCACCTGGGTACATCTTGCTTATCTCCTGTATGAACGACTCATCAAAGCCTGCAATTATAGCACCACCTACTGGAACCATAAAGTTCTTGTCCAGGCTCTGTACAAAGGCATCGATTCTTCCCACACGAGCACCCTGATGACAAACAATCCGAGAAAATATTTATCTGTAACCAGTGTGAAAATGCATCACATCGTAGCATTCAAAGGTGAGGTCCAGATCAACTTGAAGAGTGTTGATACCTGCTGAATGAGGTGCATGCATTTGGACGACTGTACACCATATGCATTGTTAACTATGTGGGGGATGTCATGCTTGCTGCAGAGAGATGACAGCTCCTCAAGCCTGCAAGACTCCAAAACAAACAGTATTAGAAATGGTGCATACCTTATTCCCACACCATGAGCCAAAACAAGCAACATACATTATGTTTCCTTGAAAGTAAGAAATCCTGCAGACAGCCTACATCAACACATGCATAACATGACATAATAAAACCTGAGGGCATGAATGAAAGCTTACAAGACCTGTCAGGGACCCGTGGGGCGAAGCAAGAAGTCGTTGAATGAACACACAGGATATTTTCAGCTCCGAGCTCTTCAATCTTGCGTTCAACTGCTTCCAAATCTGTCCGCAGCTCATCGCCCTCGAGCACATTCTCCACGACCACAGGTTCAAAGCCTGAGTAAACAGTAATGTCTTAATGTGAACAAACGATTTAAAGATGGCAATAAAGTGAAACACTTTCATAATTAATCTGATTGAATATTCCCCTTCAAGATCAATGACATTTCAAACACAGACGTGTTCGCTGATCAGGATGTAAGGTTGACAGGACACTGGATACGAGTCATATGGTCACCTGCTGTGATCATAGACTTGAAACAGGACTTCTGGTCGATGCGAGGCCAAATGATGTAGCGGGCTTTGGGTCTCCTGTGACGAAGGGTCAGAAAGCAGAGAGTCAAACTCATCCCTGTAGCCATGGGTACCACGAAGCAGCTGGCCACACTCCGGACGCCTGTAACGTACAAGCAGCAGACAACTGAACATAAGACTTCGAAACGTTTTGTTAATTCTACATAAAGACTTCCATACACTTTACCAAGTGGACATTTGGGAGGAGAAGGCAAAATTTAACATCTACCTTATCACAAAAACTAGTGTAACTGATAAGATCTACACACCTGCAAGCTTTAAGACGTCCAGGACAACTGAGTTGGTCAGTTTGTTAAGCAGACTGGATCCTGCAGCTTTAGGCTGAATAGCAGCGATGTCACCTGACCGGCCGATGCCGTGGATCAGCCTAGACAAAACAGCTGGATGTCACAACACGAGCAGTTAAACGACCTCCTAAACTCCGTGATGAGCGCAAAGCTGACATTTCACAGCCCAGTGTAATAAATCTGCGTGCAAGGCCAATTTTTAAAAAAACAACCCACAGATACAGGTGAGGACAGAATTATTAGCTCCCCTATGAAACATCCTTGTTTTGTTAAGTATTTCGAAAGCCCAGGTAAACAGAGCAAGCAATTTCTTTTTTTCCTTCTTTTGTTAAACGCAGCATTTTCAAACATCCTGGTTTTACTTTGGACGCTCATGTTACTTTGCACAAATAAACAAAATTATTATCCATCTCCTGCAACAAATCCTTTTCTCTAAACTTATTGTTTTTGGAATGATGCTTTTTCAAGTGACAGCTCAAACTCCGACGTTTTTCTACTGTATGTAAATTGGAAGAAAACCTTCAGTTTTACCTTGATTTTACAAGCAGTGAGCATTACAAAGTTAAAGCACATCCTTGATTTTCAGGGGGCTAATAATATTCACCCTGGTAAAGTTTGTTCACTGAAGAAAACTAATATGTTTATAAATGCTACATTGAAAATCACTTGTTCTGTTAAAAAGGCCAATTACATTTCATAAGGGGGCTAATAATTTTGTCCTTATCTGTATATCAATATAGGTGCTTTTACCTCGTTACAGACAAACTGCAACAAAATCTATTAGAATTACAAAAGGTTTTGCACTTATTATTCATGAAATGTGTACAAAAAGCAAACATAAGTCTTTTTAAACTAATAACACACAAAAAGTTTTCATGTCTTTATCAAACACAGTAAATTTTAGTTAGCCGTTCCCCAAAAGCAACCTGGAATCAAGTGTCCCTGTTAAGGAAATGAGGTCTGAAGTGTGTATAGCACGGCTCCCCCAATTCTCCCTAGGATCACACCAAGTTTGGAGGTGACAAAGAATCACCTGCAGAAATAAATCTCTACAACTTGCTAAAACTTGCGATGCCCTCACCTTAATACGCTGAAATGTAGTATGAAATGACATTAACAAAAGAAAACATAAGGTAAAGCACCACTTGCCAAAATATTTTCCCAAAAGTCTCCCCAGTATGTCTGTAGCTGGAAGAACACCTCAGTGTTCTACAACATATCTGGAAAACGCTGTGTGGAATGTTTTGGCAAAATAATATCGTGCTTTGATGAAAAAAACAACAAAAAAACTGCAGCGCAACGTGTAAGCCTCATAAAATACATTTTAAAAGATAACTTTAGGACATGAAAACCTTGGTGCATGCAATAAAACAATTAAACAAAACATACAGAGGCTGAAACAAAGAAAATCTGGGTTTTGGAACGGCCGAGTCAGCATCCTGACCTCAAACCAATTTATGGCTGACTGTCAGACCCATAATCATGTGGATGATGACACAGATTTTGTAGTTTTGCCTCTATATACCAGCATAGTGACAATCAGAGTGTTAGTTAACTTTAGACTTTTAACTTTAATTCAAGGGGTTTAACAAAAAATGTGGTATCTGTTTACTGGAACTCTTAATGTCGAAGATGTGGAACATCTTTTTCTTTATTTTTAACCTAATGATGTCATATTAGAAGAGGCTAATTCAACAATCTGGCACACTCTTAGAAAGAAGCCATGCACTGATCACCCCAGCAACACCACCACCTCAGACTATAATTAGGGAAGATTTCAAATTCTTTTCATAGCTAGGAAAAAAACTCTTCACAACTTCAAGTCAAATGAAAAACACTCAAGGAGGTAGGCATATCATTGATAAAGTCCAAAATCAAGAGATGCATTTATGAACGGAAATATGGAGGGTTTACAGTGATGTGCAAACTGCTGGGGACACTCAAGAACAGGAAGAACAGACTTTACAAGAAAGCATCTAACAGAGCCTGCACGGACTTGGAGAAAATCCTGGGACAGATGAAACCAGCATGTACGGCATAGCTGCCAAAGGAATCGAGTACATAACATTGCAAATAGATGTTGAATCAATGCACACTGCAAGAGCAACCAAGAGTTTCTCATGGCAAAGAAACTGGATATTCCTAAATCGCCAAGGTGGTCATCTGATCTTAGCCCAACAGAGCAGCTTTTCAGTTACTTAAGCATAAACTGAAGGTGGCTGAGGTAAAGGCCTGACCGAGAAGAGAAGACCATGTTCATGGCTTTTACACTTCATCCAGTCACTGACGGCAAAAGATTTTAATCCAACTATTTCCTAAACAGTTAAAGCAAAATATTTAAAATACTTTTTTTTTAATTAAAAATGAAAGTTTTAACTTCAATCACATCTTGATTGTCTTATTTAAAATCCACTGTGGTGATGTACGTATGCAACATAAAAAAACATAAATGAACCAGAGATGAAAGGTCGATGATTCTTTACCACTGTACAAATTTCGAGGCGTTTCTTGCTGCTGAAGGAGCTTCAGATAGACCCATTACAAGAGTTTGCTTAGTTTTTGCCAACCTGTGTTCAGTACATACAAAGGCACAACTGTTAGCTGTTATTACTTTAGGCAGACTGAATTTGTCTCCAAGTGTGACAGAGATGGGCGCAGAGTATTCACTAAGTTTTTCTTCCAACTATTCTAAATCAGAATCGCTTTAAGCACAAACCTGCACTACAAAATATTTGTTGTAGAGAAAAAACAACAACAACAAAAGATCCGCTTGCTTTTTATCTGCCTCACAATCCATCAGTCGGGGTTTGATAATAATAACGCATAAGGCCTGGCGGGCAAACTTGAACCTGTAATGTCGTCTTGCCACAAGGCTGGATGCCACCCGGCCTTCTCTCTCTCCTACTCCACAGTTACCCAAGAAGTTGTTGCTGTCCATCACAGCTAGCTCGCTGAGGAAGAGCTCAACAGTGCTCTCGCTCCATCCCTCCTCGGGACACTTTCCCTGCAACACACACAACATGAAAGAGGAAGTGTCTTCACTGCAGTGGTATGAGGAAACAAAAGAAAGCTTTGAGCGTACTTGTTCCAGTAACTGTCTGATGAGTTGCTCATGGCCACGGCGAGCCTGCGATCCCTGACGGATGTAGGAAGGTGACACAATCTTCTCGCTCAGGTTAAAGTTGTCGCTGTTCATCTGTGTTAAACACACAACTTTGTGGTAAGTCAGTGCAGTGGGTGTCCAAACCGTTCTACAAATGCTTATTTCTCATAATTAACCAATAGGGGAAAATAATAACATTTATGAAAAGTGAAAAGGTTTGAAATCTTTCACTTTTGCTTCAAGCTATGACAAAATCGTCTGTTTATGTTCATAAAGGCCAAACTGTGGTAATGTGGCTTCTTCCTGTTGTAGGAGTGAAACACTCTTCAGTTTCCGTTCCTTCACACTGGCACCAAGGATGTGTTTTTACTGTAACTCTTAACTTTGGCGATCATTAGGTAAGTTTACTAATTATTATCACATGAAGCTCATGACGAACTGCTCATTCAATGTTTCATAAAGGTTTGTTAAAAATGCCAAAGTTACACCAGACCCTTTTACCAACGCATCCCTAAATTTTATCTTAGCACCCCTAAAAATAACCGTATTAATAACATAATACGCTACCTTATTTACAGGTAGTGAAATTAAATGGAAACCTTAACTGTATTTCCAGAAAGAAATAAGCCAAAAAAAGTGTGCTTTTCAGTAGCACACTTGAAATGGGAT